GCCCCTCAGCTTCCCTTCCACGCACACGCGCAGCCGCCGCCCCGCCCCCTCGCCCAGCCCCGCCCCCGCCCCGCCCAGGAACGAGCTGGGCGGAGCCAGGGTGGAAGCCCGGCCTCCCAGTCCGCGCCCGCTCCTCAAGGAACCGGTGCAGAAGGTGTGCGCATGCGCGAGGCAGGGCGCCCTCGCGGCCCTTCCGCCGCGGAGCTCACGTGACTCGGGGCAACTCTGGAGCGCGACCTTATTAGGGCAGGTGTCCTGCGCAGGAGTGGGGGGCGCTGGGTGGAGGAGGCGCCGGGTGGCGTCGCGCCCTTCCCCCGCGGCCGGCCTCAACCTGTAGATAGATCCCTGCCTGCATTGGCTAATCAAAACTCTGTGACAACTAAAAAATAGAAATTGTGCCTTGGTGATCTGAGGTTACCATTTAAAAATGGACCCACTGTCATTTCAGTATTGGATAAGGCAGCCCATTCATGAGTCATTTGCTAAGAGCATACTGTGAACCAGGTACCTTTCTAGGCTCTGCAGATACAGCAGTGATTAACACCCACAAGCAGCCGGGCACAGTGGCTCATGCCTGTAATCCCAGCACTTTGGGAGACGGGAGGGGGAGGATTGCCTGAGTCCAGAGGTTCGAGACCAGCCTGGGCAGCTTGGCGAGACCTCCTCTCTACAATAAATCTAGAAAAATTAGCCGGGCATGGTGGCGCGCACCTGTAGTTCCAGCTACTTGGAAGGCTGAGGTGGAACGACCCAGCAGGTCGAGGCTGCACTGGCTGTGAGCGTGCCACTGTACTCCAGCCTGGGTGACAGAGTGCGACTCAAACACACACACAAGCAAAGGTGAAAGTCATTTTACCTGGTTGCCTTAAGAGACTGACTTAATGCAAAAGGGCTTCAGCATTCTAACTTGTAAAATGCAGGTGCCGGGTTCCAGGGCTTCTGCCCACACAACATTCCAAGTTTCAGTTAAAAGAGGAAAATTTCTGCCTGGTATAGAAAAAAGCGCCCTACACACCTGGGTTAACTTGCTGTCTCTTGGCAACTGAAAGGACATATCATGGACATACTTGACTCCATATTCTGTCTTTTCAGCAAGGAAGCAGGCACAATAATAGAGACCCACAAACCTATAGGGGTAGGCACAGGGCGTCCAACCCATTACCCATTAAAATTACCTGGGAGCCTTAAAAACTACAGCTATCCCAACAGTCTGTCCACAGACAAATTAAATCCCTGGAGATAAGGGCTTGAACTGATTTTTTAAGGATCTTTAGGATGCTAAGGTACACAATCATTGATACAGAGTGAATCAAATGATTGCTTAAGAGCAAGAAACTGATTTAATCCGGATCCTTAAGATTTACGTACCTTCCAACTGAATTATAGGCCCTTTTAAGCATTTATTAATTTATCTGGTGTTAGGGTATGGACAGGGTGAGGGTGGAGAGGTGCAGGAAGGCGCAGCACTGCCGGAGCCAGCAAGTCCGAGGTGCCGCACTGGGAACCCAGAGATCCGAGTAAATGCAAAGAATTGCCACACACAGAGGTGAGAGAAGAAAAGATTTATTTAAGAAAAGTTCACCCCCCCCCCCACAGACAGGGAGTGGGCTTACACTCTAGGTGAGTGTGGCGACATAGTCCCCCAAAGCCCTGGCTTAAATCCTTTTCTTGGAGATGTTGCACGTGACTACCGTGACTTCCTTATCAACCACCTGTGGATGTCTTGGAGATCCTGTGACAGAGGCCCATTAATGTCTGTCCATATTATCATAGCCCCTAGAGAAGGGCGTGACAAGGATTCTAATTCTCCTGCAACCTCCCAAATGACATTCCTTAGAGCTCGTGGAGGATGCACTGACCCTCATTTCCTAGGCATTCCCAGTGGGTAGCTTCAGGGGATCCTTGACTTTCCTGTAGATAGGGCCCGATTTACTGGAAGATCGAATCCCCACCTGCTCTCCCTCTGAGTGGTCATAAGTTTTGTAATTATAGATTTCGTGACTTTTACAGTCCTTGCCCAATGCATGATGTTTTAGGCCTTGTAAATTCCCTTTACTCTAGGCAAGCTTGATTGCCACTATGAGATAGTGCTGATACCTGGAAGTCTGTTTCTGAAAAGACAAAGTCGGTAAAGTTAGTTTTACCTAAAGTGTTCATTTCTCCAAAAGCATAGCTTCTACTTTCTCATCATTGTGCCAGGGTTTAAGAACAAGATGAAAAATGACTTCCCACTCTCAGTCTGTCCTTTAATCTGGCACCACAGTGTTTGCGAATGAATTTTCCTTGGTCTTGATGCCAGGTAGGGTGCGGCACACAACCCGAGTATGCTTTGGCTCATTTCTAAAATGAATTTTAGAGTGGCCAGCAAAGTTTTCAAGCAAAGTTTTATTTAGAACGTCAAGAGAGATAGAGGAAGAAGATTCACCTCCCCAAAATGGAGGTGAGAGCCACAGCTAGGAAGCATGGGACCCACAGCTCACGGAGACACAGTGCTTAACAAAGCAATGGTGACTGCTGGTTAAAGTCAAATGCCTTTTATACCTTCCCTTTGATGGGGGCAGGTAAATGCAGGCAGATGGGTGGGTTAGTCACATGACCGCTGCCATGGTGAGGAGACTCTGTCAGGAAGGTCAGGAAGGGCCGATTAGGTTGACTTGTTTACAAAATGAGCTGGAGAGAGGGTGAGGTTGAGCATTGTACCTTCAATAGGGAACCCGAAGGATTTTTAGTGATTAGGAGCTGAAAGGTTGGGCTGTCCTATTCTTACGTCTGATGGGATTTTCTTTTTATTGACTGAAGGGGTGGGGTAGGCTACCAGCTTGGCCTGCAGTAAAGTGTAATTTTAAAAATCTCTGAACGCTTCCTAAAACCTACCTCTGGGAAATGTATCTGTGTCTAGCCTGAGCTAGCTACCTTGCCTCTGTCTCATCACCGAAATCAGCCCTGGAACTAGTTTTGAATTTGACCCTGTGCTTTCCTCTCAGTTCTGCACAGTAATAGAATGGGTGTTGTTTTGTCCTTTCCCCATCTACAGCCTTGGCTTCTTTCTGAAGCCTGTTTTTGGAGGCTCACCCAGTCTACAATCACCCTTCCTTACGTGTTCCTCTTTAGGGATTAACAAACTAACAGTCCACACCCTACTGCCCTCTCCTCTCAGCAGGAAAGGTGCCCCCCCACTTTGTCAAAAAGATTCCTTTGTTATTCTTTCCTGTGTCCCAGATCACAGTCCTCACCTTTCCTAGAGACCTTTTCCCATCATTCCATGTCACTTGGCTTGTGGAGAAAATAATTAGGGCTCATGAGAAATGATTAAAGCTGTAAGAATTAAAAGAAGCCGGGCGCGGTGGCTCATGCCTGTAATCCCAGCCCTTTGGGAGGCCGAGGCAAGAAGATTGCCTGAGTCCAGGGGCTCGAGACCAGCCTGGGCAACTTGGTGAGACTTAGTCTCTGCAATACATCAAAAAAATTAGCCAGGCTTTGTGGTGTGCACCTATGGTTACAGCTACTTGGGAGGCTAAGGTGGAAGGATCACCTGAGCCTAGCAGATCAAGGCTGCAGTGGCCGTAAGCGTGCCACTGCACTCCAGTATGGGTGATGGAGTGAGATCCCTGCTCAAAAAAAAAAGAATTAAAAGAAAATAAACTTCCAATTTGTGGATGATACGTGATATGTGACAGCATACCTGGAAAACCAAGGGAGTCAAGTCTTAAATTCATACTAACAATATGAGAATTCACTATGGAGCAAGATATAAAAATAACATATTAAAATAGTCTTCATCTGTGTCTATAATGACAAACTACAAGATATAATGGACTCCAATTACCATAACAACATAAAAGAAAAAACACTTGGAAATAAACTTAAGTTCACAAAACCTACATAGGAAAAATAATAAAACCTTTCTGAAGATACAAAAGTAGACTTGAACAAATGGACAAGCATCCTTTATTTTTGGATAGGATGACTCAATATCACAGAGATGTCAATTTTCTCCAAGTTAATATGTAATTAACACAATCTTAATTTAAAAGAGCAACAAATTGTGTTCTGAGGCTAGGCAGGTTGATTCCAAAGTTGCTGTGACAAAATAATCAAAACTAGCACAAAGTGGGAGGGAGTGATAGCCCTACCTGACATCGAAACAATGTGGCATTGATACATGAATAGACTAAGAGATTAAGGGAACAGCATAGCAAGTTCATAAAAGTCCAGAAATAGAGCCAAGTGCATATAAACATTAGTGTATGCTTAAGATGGCATCTCAATCA